TAAATGTGTAAATGTGTAAATGTCTTTTTTCGGTGGACAACGTTAATGACATTGACTGTATTATTGTACTGAAGTTTAGACTCGGAAAACAATGAGTGTTCTGTATTTATCTCACAAAATAATCTCGTAAGGTCAATAATGATGGTTTAATCACAAGGCATAATAACAACGAAAACTAACTGAATAATCAGGAACCGGTGTTATAGTTGGCCGTTTACAAGTTTTTGATGAATCTAAAGTAAAGTTTAAGTCACAAGTGCTTTTTTAACTGCACACGAGAAATTGTTGTTCCGATAAGATATATATATATACTTCATGTAAAAGGTGTGTTCATGACATTACATGGGATTTAGTGTGCCATCAAATCTTTAAGTTTTGTCGCAACAGCGAATGGACTACTTCTAGGATACGGCGGCCATTTTGACAGGGGGGACCAAATAAAGATTACAGATAATATACAGAGTTGTCGCGTGTCTTTCTTTTATGGGAAAAGGTGATCAAATGCCGTCTTAATTCATCTCAGCTTTTGTATCATTTACTTGTGGCGAGCTATTAATATCATTATTACTCTAACTAAGCTTTATTTGTACCCTTAGATGCCGCATAGCATCTTGCAATCCAAGATGGGCCCCATATAGTCTATTGTACGTATGTGCACAAAGAACAAGAACATCTTTGTTTGAATATGAATCGACTAATTCCTATAGTGAAAGCATTCCCCAAGTAAAAGAGAATACCACTAGTCATTGTCACAGTGCTGCAAATATGGAAACGAATACTAACGAATTAATTAAAAATGGCGGCTATGACGTCATGTTAAACTCGAGAAAGTTTAAAAGGGTTAAGTCCTTGGAAAAATATATTTCAGCACATATATTTTTTCTATAGCTTCGCTTTATGGTAAAATATTTTCTAAAAGACAAATGAGGTTGTTCAACGTTTACTAAACTAACAGTGTAGAAGGTTGTGCTTCTTTTTTTTGAAAGGAAGTAATGTATTGTGGGCTTTTCAAGCGAACCCAGACACTTTGAATTTAGCAGCCAGCTTCGTCTTGCTTCTTGTTGGCTTTCTGTGTGAAGTTTGTGGTGGAATCTGCTTCTCCTTGAATTCCTGGGCAAAAACAACATAGAAAAAACGTGAAAAAGAAAACGAATGAAAAATAAAATGGGCAAGGGCAAGGGCAAGGGCAAGGGCAAGGGCAAGGGCAAGGGCAAGGGCAAGGGCAAGGGCAAGGGCAAGGGCAAGGGCAAGGGCAAGGGCAAGGGCAAGGGCAAGGGCAAGGGCAGGGACAAGGGCAAGGGCAGGGAAAAGGGCAAGGATAAGGACAAGGGCAAGGGCAAAGTCAAAGGCAAGGGTGAGGGTAAAGGACAATGGCAAGGGCAAAAGATAACAATGAGGGCAAAGGCAAGAGCGAGGGCAAGGAATGACAAACAAAACATACCTTGATATCTTTATCATATAAAGACATTACTGAATAAACTTCGCAAACCAGCATTGACCTGGGAATGAATTTCTCAACGAGATCCTGAAAAGCTGATGATGACTTTTCTTCCTCAAACTCACTAACCCCTAACTCTTCTTCGTTGCATACATCAGATTTTAAATCTAGTGGCCACAAAGACGGGTCAGATAAATACTTGACTGCACGTTCCTGTGGATCCCAGGTGTGCTGATGCTCTTGATCTGACAACAGATACCGGAAGATGAACCGACGTAGGGTAGTGACGACAACCAATTTCTGGTCCGTAGACCCGTATGCCTGCGAATTCAAAGTCATTGCTTCTAAGTCATAGTTCAAATACAAATAGCAGCAATCGCAACGATAACAGGTAAAATAGATATTAAAATAAAAATAGACTACTTCGGCGACAAAGCGACCATCTTGAAACTACAAAAAAAGTTTTAAAATATTCACTTGTCCGCCATTTTGTTTTTTGGCCTCCTTAACCACCCACACCGTACAGCGTTTCCAGGCACTAGGGACTAACCTACCTATATTTCCCCCTGGTAAACCCGGGCTAGGGTCAGCCAAGGTTAGCTCCTTCCCTTGTAAGCAGGCCCTA